AGAAAGAAAGAAAGAAAGAAAGAAAGAAAGAAAGAAAATTTCAGAACAGAGGAACAACATAAAACAATGAGTATCAGGTGGCACCTGTAGCTCAAGTGGCTAAAGCACCAGCCACATAGACCAGAGCTGGCGGGTTCGAATCTGATATGGCTAGTAACTGCCAAACAATGACAACCACAAACAAAAAATAGCTGGGCACTGTGGCAGGCGCCTGTAGTCCCAGCTACTCAGGAGGCTAAGGCAAGAGAATTGCTTAAGCTCTAGAGTTTAAGGTTGCTGTGAGCTGTGACACCACAGCACTCTACCCAGGGCGATAACTTGAGGCTCTGTCTCAAAACAAACAAACAAAAAATATTTTCTGAGTTCTCTCAAAAACCAAGGGCCAGAAGTGTTTTATAAGAGGAAGCGGGAATCAGGGTGACTAGATTAAACACTATTAAAATATAAAATAAGGGCAGCACCTGTGGCTCAAAGGAGTAGGGCATCAGCCCCATATATCGGAGGTGGTGGGTTCAAACCCAGCCCAGCCAAAAACTGCGAAAAAAAAAAAAATACAAAATAAGAGGCTCTGTGCCCATAGCTCAGTGGTTAGGGTGCCAGCCATATGCACCAAGGCTGGTGGGTTCGAACCCAGCCACGGCCTGCTAAACAGTGACAACTACAACAAAAAATAGCCAGGTGTTGTGGTAGGTGCCTGTAGTCCCAGCAACTTGGGAGGTTCAGGCAAGAGAATCGCTTAAGCCCAAGAGTTTGAGTTTGCTGTGAGCTGTGATGCTACAGCACTCTACCAAGGGTGACATAGTGAGGCTCTGTCTCAATACAACCTGATACTCCTGGGCTCAAGCAATCTTCCTGCCTCAGCCTCCCAAGTAGCTGGGACTATAGGCACACACTACCAGCCTGGCTAATTTTTTTCTATTTTTTTTTGTAGAGATGGGGTTTTGCTCTTGCTCAGGCTGGTCTCAAACTCCTGGTCTCAAGCAATCTTCCCCTCTCAAACTCCCAAAGTGCTAAGATTACAGTTGCCTAACCAAAGCCAATAACTTCTGATCAACACAAAAGGCTTAAAGGAAAAAGAGAAGCTACCCAGAACAATGCTTACCCACTGGAATGATGTAAATGCTGAACAGAGATCTGGTTAGATGAAAGCTTCAAAGAAATTTGGTAGAACAGAGACTGTGTTGATGATCCTTTAAAAGAGACTAGACAAAATCTAGTCTTTCTTTTCCTTTTCTTTCTTTTTTTTTTTTTTTTTTTACAAAAATATACAATGCTTCATACATCTGCACAAAATTTCCCTTTAAAGAAAATGCAAATTGGCTCAGTGCCCATAGTACAGTGCTCATGATGGCAGGTTCAAACCCAGCCAAGGGTGGCAGGTTCAACCCCAGCCCAAGCCAGCTAAGCAACAA